ACTCACTTCTCATTCCTGCTCCCCAATCCCTGCTCCCTGGGGTACCTAAAGATTCTCCACATTCAGCACATTTATTTGGCTTCTTTTTGTGTCACCTTCCTCAGGCCTGCAGTAGAGGGTGGGTGTCTTCCCCATCTAGAGATACCTCCTCTGAGTTTTCCTGTAAAGGGAGTCACACCCCAGCCTGCTCCACACAAATGCATGTGAATTCTGTCTCCCTCTTAGTTGAAAACAACTACAGCCCTATTTTTAAGTAAGTGTCTTCCTTCCTCTTTCAACCAAGTGTAAAAAATTATTCTTATTTCTCTGAATTACATGTACTTCTATTTAATAGACAGCACTTAGGACCAAGGATTTGCTAAGAGTTTCACAAAGTAACACACCCAAGAAAATTGGGCCAACTAAATTTGCATGCAAAGCACCAGGTTGCTGTTTCTAAAAATGCGTACCTCCTTCACAGTTCTCCACCTCTGAGGCTCTGAGAACTAAAACCCGAATCTATAGCAGGTGCACTGCTCAGGTCTCTCAGACACAGAATGTGAATGAAAACTTTTGTGAACAGGGAGAAGGGTAGCGACGCACTAATGGCCCTGGGTTTGCCCTGAAGGTCAAGTGGCTTCTTTAGGAGGTCATCGAGGGGTGCAGTCTCCCAAGACAGCAAGATGGCAGTGTCTATTTTCAAGGCCGCTTTTATTTCATGGTGATTAAGAGTTTCTAAAAAATGTTTTAAGAAATTAATTTTTTTGGTACTTAATCTTTAATAAGTCAAGTAGTGCCTGGAGGAAGAAGGTGCTGGCCAGGGATGCGTTCACATTGAGTGCTCAGATTTGACTCAGCTGCCTGTATTCTTTGCCTCTCCCCCTCATTACACATTGTACCTCTCCCCTCCAACTCGCCCAGAGAATGTGAAACTCTCTGTGCTATGATGGTGGAGTGGGTGGGCTCTGCAGTAATTGCTGCATATGTAGACTCAACCCATTGCCCTCCTCAGCCTTCTGCAACATTTGCAATTCTGAGCTTCTACAAGTTTCTATCCTCTGCTTTGCAAAGCCCTTACCTTATTGCTGACTGCTTTTCCTTTTCTTATTTCAGGATTCTGTACTACATATGTCCTTTGGTGTGGCAGCCACAAGAATGAGCCTTTTGATCTCCTGCTTTAAACAATGCTCTTGATAGAGGGCCTGTTGATCACTGCTGAGCACTCTTCTTCTTTTTAAAATTTATTTTTTTTTGGAAGTCAGAGTTACAGGGAGAGGGAGAGGGAGAGAGAGAGAGAGAGAGAGAGAAAGCTATCTCTTATCTGCTGCAATGGCCAGTTGGACTGATCCAAAGCCAGGAGCCAGAAGCTTCTTCCAGGTTTCCCACATGGGTGCGGGGCCCAAGCACTTGGGCCATCTTCCTCTGCTTTCCCAGGTGCATTAGCAGGGAGCTGGATTGGAAATGGAGCAGCTAGAACTGGAACCAGCATCCATATGGGATGCTGGCACTGCAGGCAGCTTTACCTGCTATGCCACAGGGCAGGCTCTTGAGCACTGTTCTTATCAGGTGCTGCTCTGCCTCTTGGCATAATGTCCTCCCCTGCCTGTCAGCATGGTGTTCTCTCTTGCTGTCTATGAAGACCCAAGAGTTTACTTTTTCTTTCTTTAGAGATAGAGCGCACTCCCACCCACTGGTTCACACTCAAATGCCCACAATTTCTGGGACTGGGCTGAATTGAGCCAGAAACTGGGTAGCAGGAATCCCATGTAGGGCAGGAATCCAAGCAGCTGCACCATTACCTCCCAGGGTCTTCATTCGCAGGAAGCTGGAGTCAGGAGCTAGAAAGGGCATCAGACCAGATACTCCAGGAGTTTATTCTTGGTGGATGCTGGGAGCCTGCACACTTCCACAGCTGTGCCAAGAAGGAAGGTAGGCTCTTTATCCTGTGTTTAATGTAGACAAGTGGATCTCAAAGCCAGAGTGGCTTGGATCCCAGTGGCTTTGAGTTTGGAAGACTAGATCATCTTTTATTCCTAATGCTTACTTTGGACCCAGACAGAGAACTCAGCTGGGCTCTCAGATTGGAGAAGTCAATCAAATGGGAAATGACCTTTGGGAAGTTCCTTATCGCAGGCTACAGGGATGTTGGCTCTTTCTGTTGTGGATAAGTGGTAGGGAAAGTTGTCAGCGCTGCTCTAAACCATTCCCTTCTCCAGCCAGCACGCAGCTTTCCATGGCTTCCAGGTTCCAGCAGCCTAGTGAGCCTTGAGTTATGCCAGTATGGAAGTCCGACCAGACACCCACGCAGCAAGCTCGCCACAGCAGCCCGGAGTGCTTCTGTCCCCCAGGACACTTTGGTCATGTGGCCCTTTGTCGCTCCCCCTCTTCGTGGAGGAACGACACAGGACCCTGCGCTGTTCTTTTGTCTGCTTGGCCCTCCCCGGGTTTGCTGCTGGTTCTTCCCGGGTTGGCTACCGTCCCTTCCACCTCCGTGGAAGGGCGATTCCCCCTAGCCACTTTCCCCACTTCCGCGGGGGAGCGGCACACCGCCGGCCGGCTCTCTCGGGGGCTGCTCAGATGTTCCTCAGGTGTTCCTGGTGCATGTTGTCTCTCTCTCCTCCTTTATAGTCCTCTTCCACCAATCCCAACTCTGCTACCCACAGGCCGAGTACGCTGCTCTCCTCCAATCAGGAGCAGGTCCTGCTGTTTATTGGTTGAACTGGAGGCAGCTGAGTAGAAGCTGTTTCCTCCTCTCCCAGCGCCATATTGTGGGAAAGCAGATGCGTAGAATAAGTCTTAATTCCAGTAACTTAGTCTAGTCCGAGTTGCTCCCAGTTGCTCCCCACCGCCCTTGTGTCCATGTGGGTGGTTCTCTAATTGCTTTTGGGTACATGCTCCAGGCTACCAAGCTACCAAGCTGAACCAGTGGTTACTGAGTATGTTACATCTTTTTAAATAATTTAACTTCATTTTTAACTTTCTCATTGAGGTATAGCTTATATACTATAAATTCACAAATCCTCAGATTCTACATCTATATACAGCCATGTAACTATCACCCAGACCAAGATAATTTCAGTAGCAGATTCTTTTTTTTTTTTTTTTCCCTTTTTCCTTATTTAACAGGTAGAGTTACAGACTGTGAAAGAGACAGAAAGGTCTTCCTTTTTCCATTGGCTCACCCTTCAAATGGCCGCTACTGCCGGAGCTACCCCAATCTGGAGCCAGGAGCCGGGTGCCTTTTCCTGGTCTCCCATGCAGGTGCTGGGGCCCAAGTACTTGAGCCATCCTCCACTGCCCTCCCGGGCCACAGCAGAGAGCTGGACTGGAAGAGGAGCAACTGGGACTAGAACCTGGCACCCATATGGGATGCTGGCTCCACAGGTGGAGGATTAGCCAAGTGAGCCATGGTGCCGGCCCCAAGTAGCAGATTCTTACTTGTCCCCAAGTGATGTCCTTCAGGGTATTCTGACCTACATGTTCCATAATTTCTTTTGCCTATATTTGAAGTTCATATAAAACAATATACATTGTTTTATTTAAAAAACTGGTCATCAGAGTGGTACTGCATGAAGTAAGAGGGGGATAAAACTTTTCCATTTTTCCTTAGTTGGTAGCAGTGTGAATAGGATAGTGCATAAATCACTTCCTGTGTAACTCCAGGCAACTTTTAAATTTTTTAAAGAGATTTATTTTATTTATTTGAAAGGCAGAGCGAGAGCGAGAGAGAGAGAGAGAGAGAGAGGTCTTCTATCCACTGGTTCACTCCTGCAACTGCTGGAGCTGGGCCAGACCAAAGCCAGGAGCCTCTTCCAGGTCTCCCACGCGGGTGCAGGGGCCCAAGCACCTGGTGCATCATTGGCTGCCTTTCCAGGAACATCAGCAGGAAGTTGGATGGGAAGCGGGGCAGCCAGGACTTGTATCTGTGTTCTGATTTGGGATGTCGGAGTCGTCCTAAGAGGTGGCTTAACTTGCGGGACCACAATATGCCCTGAAAACTTATTCGTTTTAAAAACGATTTATTTAGGGCCCACTCTTGTGACAGAGCAGGTAAAGCTGCCACCTGCAATGCTGGCATCCCATATGGGTGCTGGTTCCTGTCTCGGGGGCTCCACTTCAGATCCAGCTCCCAGCTAATGGCCTGGGAAAAGCAGCAGAGTATGGCCCACGTGTTTAGGCCCCTGCATCCACGTGGGAGACTTGAATGAAGCTGCCATCTGGGGAGATACCCAGTGGTTGGAAATCTTTGTCTCTCTTTGTTTCTGCCTCTTCCCATCTCTATAACTCTGGATTTTCAAATGAGTGAATTAAGCTGCCTTTTTTTTTTTTTTTTTTTAAAGATCGATTTCCAACCACTTGTTCACTCCCCAAGTGGCCTAAAAATGGCCAACATAGGCCAGGCAGAAGCCAGGAGCCAGGGACTTCCTGGTCTCCCACCTGGACCATCTTTTGCTGCCTTCCCAGGCACATGAGCAGGAAGCTGGAGCTGAGACACCAGTGGAGCTGCAGGCAGCGGCTTACCCGACTGTGCCCACCCTCAACCCCCTTCTCACTCAGCGGTTGCTTGGTAAATCCTGGTTGAATAAATAGGCATTCAGCAAATACCCTATTCACCTGGTTCCCGCTTATGGTGCGGATCTTGCTGTGAACTTACGCCTCAGGACTTCCATTTAGGGTAAGTGCTGGTGGCCAGAGCTTCTGCAAAGGCTCCTTGCACTCTCCAGAACCAAAGGCTTACACTTTGGCTTCCTTCTTGCAGATAGGAGCCACGGCAGGGAGACAGGGTTAGGGTGGGGTGGGAGGATAATCACTTTTGGGAAAACTGGTCAGAATGTTGATCTTTTCAGTACGCCCTCCCAATTCAATAGAACACACATTGAAGCAGTGGAAAGCTCAGTGCTTTCATGGGCCTCCGCATTCCCTCAAAGGTATCACCCAACCTTTGTGGCACCTCTTTTGAGAGACCATTCTGGAAGAGAGGCGGTCCCTTTAAGGCCCTGGAAAGGGTCTCGGTGTCGGTTTCCGCGAGGAGGCCACGCCCCGTCACGTGTGCACGGCTCCAGCAGGGCAGGGCTAGAGGCTCTTGGCTGTCGTCACTTCCGCTTCTCTGTCAGTCGCGAGCGAGTAGCAGAGTGTTCGGCCGCAGGGACGGAGCGTGAGTATGCGAGCCCCCCGCCCCCAACCCTTGGTGCCCCGACCCGGCCTACCCCCAACCTTGGACGGCGAGCCGCGAGCAGCCCGCCGCCCTCCGCGTCCCTGCCGGCGGTGGGAAATGGCGGTTCCGCCTGACCTCCCCCCTCCCCGCCTCGGCGTCCGTGAGCCCCCTCCTCCGTCGCCGACCCCCTGCCCGACGCGCCGAGAGCCCCTTCGCGCCCGAGGCCTGCTCCAGCGATGGGAGCGGAGGCGGCGGGCGTGGCGGCTCCGGGCTTCAGGGCGCGGCCGGGCGGGGGCGGGGAGTCGCGGGGAGGGTCCCGCGGACGCCCCCGGGACAATGCGGCTGCGGCCGGGCCCCCGACGGGGACGCGCGTGGGGCCTGTGGCTTGCCCCGTCCTCCTTGCGGCCCCGGCCCCTCGCTGGTGTGTGTTGAGGGCGTTCACGGGGGGGGGGGGGGAGAGCGGCGGCGTCGGAAGGGGGTCGGCGGGGGAGAGGAAGGCAGGGTGGCGGCGCGAGGGGGCAGAGAGAGAGCGCTTCGAGAGGAGAAAATGGCGCTTGGTGCAAGTCCCTCCTCTCCTCACGCCGTCTCCTCCGCACTTCGCTGCCTCCCACGCCCCCTCCGACCGAACCTGTCTCCCCTCGCCCGGGCGGCCGCCAGTCCCGGCTTCTAGCAGCTTCCTGGCAGGAGCGAGTCCCTCCCCCGCCTTGGCGCTTTCCACGCCGGTGTGGCACCGAGTCCCTGTGCCCTTCTGTCCTAGTTCATTTTCACCTCGTTTTTCTTGATCCTCCCTGAGCCGGCAGGCAAGGACCAAGGGTCCTCCCCCCACTTCTCGTTTAAATTGCGTTTTGTGTGTATTCTGTGAGAACGTTCTTAATGAATTGCCTGTCCCACCATTTTTTGGAACAGTAAAGCCGCTCATTACATTAAAAAAAAAAAAAGTGTATTACTGAAAGTTCGAAGAACTGGGCTTAGTTGCCGTTACCTTGTTGTTACCTTATTTAGATTAAATAGGAGGTGGGAGTTTGAAATGATCTTAGGCCTCCAGGCAGCTATTACTAAACGGTGATAGTTGGGCTAGACCATTTTAAAGTGAAAAATATATGTTCGACTTGATTACCTTTTCAAAAAAGGCATTTTGGCAGTTAAAGTAGCAGCTGGCGTAAAAAAAAAAAAGATCTAAATTTGTTTTGTAGACTAGGTTGTAAAAATGGAGCAGTAAAAGGAAAAAAAAAAAATGTACCAGCTGTGCTTTGGATGTCGCTGTTCCTCTCTGAATTTACTCTTCTGGTCTTCAAGCAGTTGCCGGTTAAAATCAACATGGCTGAGTTGGGCTGATTTGGGCTTTTTGAATTTCATGGCCAGGATTGGGATGGCCCACTTCTTTTACCTTGACCTCTTATTGTGGAACACGTTCAATGCCAGGGCCTGCACAAGTTTAGTCTAGAGAGCTGGATTTTGATTTTTTTTTTCTAAAAGGAAACTGAAGCCTTTCCCCCTTCCAGACATTCAGAGTTTGTCTTTATTAGGCCCTTAGTGGCATACAGAAATTAATAGGACCCATTCTCTTCTGAGATGGGGAAAGCAAAAGCTAAATTGAGAATTGGCACTTTAGCACCTGGTATTGAGTGCCTTGCAAAGGCGGGCTCACGGGCCTGGAGTTTCTTACAACTGGGGCTGAGGTTTATTGATAGTGCTCTCCTTCCCCTCGGCAGTAAAGTCCAGTTGCAAGTAAAGTACTGGGCTGTGAACCTCTCTGGGGAGGAACTGGGAAACTGGATGGTACCAGTCGCTCTCATAAATAGATTCTTCATGATTTAAAATGATATTCAGGAGTAGAAAATAAGTGTAAAATGGACTGAATCACTCTGAGTTAATATGTAACATTGTGAACTCTGAAATAATACCTGTTATTTTGATGATATGGCCAAAAAGTCAAAATTAACATAAGAAATAGGAGGAAAAGTCATTATGACAAAGTTAATTAGATACCGCATCAGCATTGTATAGCTATTCCCCCTGTTGTACGAATAAATTCCCTGCAGTGAATAATTCTACATTAGTTTCTGCTGTCATTAGAACTATGAAGCACCACTGAGTGAGATTGTTTGTGTTTCTTTGGGTTTTAACAGTAAATGTTAGCAGCTGCTTTCTTACGATCACCCTACCCATAAACTGCTAACCCCACTAAAGTGAAGTATAAAAAGATCCATGGGCTTTGAGGTGGGAATGTGAGTGTGAATGTTCTCTTTCCTCACTGGTTCACAATATTTTACTGTTATTTGCAACTTAGGAGAGTGTAGATTTAAAGCTTGTGCTCAGCAGAATGATCTGTGTATCACAAAGTGGTAGAATGAACCGTACGGTGTGTCGATGAGTTTTAAATGGGAGGAAGAGCGTAGTTGAGGTAATGGGGCAACTTGTAAATTATTTACACAATGCATTTTTCTTTTAGAATGCCTAAGTCAAAGGAACTTGTTTCTTCAAGCTCATCTGGCAGTGATTCTGACAGTGAAGTTGACAAAAAGGTGAGTATTACTACACTCATTTTTGTCGTACTTGACCCATCAATGTTGCCCACATCTAATCCTGAGGAACAGTGAAAGGCATGCCCGAGTATTTATTTATTTATTTATTTATTTGACAGGCAGAATTAGAAAGGTCTTCCTTTTCTGTTGGTTCACCCCCCAGATGGCCTCTATGGCCGGCGCACTGCGCTGATAAGAAGCCAGGTGCCTCCTCCTGGTCTCCCATGTGGGTGCAGGGCCCAAGGACCTGGGCCATCCTCCACTGCACTCCTGGGCCACAGCAGAGAGCTGGCCTGGAAGAGGAGCAACCAGGACAGAATCCGGCACCCTGACCGGAACTAGAACCCGGGGTGCCGGTGCCGCAGGCAGATGATTAGCCTAGTGAGCCAAAGCACCGGCCCGGCATGCCTGAGTATTAACAGAATCTGGGATGGCAGTGCTTCTGAAAGTGGCTGGCCCTCAGATAGATGTGCTTAGGGTGCTCATGGCACTGCCACACTCACAGGCTCTCCGTTAGCTTTAAATCTGTTGAGAACCCTTAGGACCCCCTAAGTGGCAGAACCACTGCTTTAGACTCTAAGGAAATTGGATTCTAATTAGATCCAGAGTTCCTCGTTGCCATTACTTAGAAATCTGCCTCATCTGCCGGGCTGCTAGTAGTGTTTGGGCTAAATTACCTGAGGTTTTGAATTTGAGTACCAATTTTGAAAGCCGCCTTACAAGTGGTGTCTGTTCCTGCACACAAGGATTACTGAATTTAGACTTGATACATCTTGATATTTTTGCTTTGATCTGTCACTTTGAGTTAAACTAACACCTAGGAAAGCCAATTTGAAATAACTTACTTAGAATAAGCTTTTTGTGTATTAGAAGACAACAGTGCTATAAACTCTTCATTCCGCTTAATCGAGCATCTCAGTGGAGCATAACTGAGCGTCTCATGTGTGGTCAGGACTTCCTTTCACAAACAGCTGTCGCTTATCATGTGTGGGTTTACATGTATCCTAGAAGTAGAATAAATTGGTTGTATGCTTTCTAGTTAAGGTATCTCCTTTCTGAGAAGCAAGTAATTGGCTGTAGAGATCTGTAGTTTTTAAAAAAGATTTATTTATTTGAAAGGCAGAGTTACAGTGAGGCAGAGGTGGAGAGAGAGAAAGAGGTTATCCATCTACTGGTTCATTCCCCAAATGGTCACAACAGCTGGAGCTGGGCTGATCTGAAGGCAGGAGCTTCTTCCGAGTCTCCCATGTGGGTGCAGTGGCCCAAGCACTTGGGCCATCTTCCACTGCTTTCTTAGGCCATAGCAGAGAGCTGGATCGGAAGTGGAGCAGCCAGGTCTAAAACTGGGGCTCATATGGGATGGCAGCTAGCAGGCGGAGGCTTAGCCTACTACGCCACAGGGCCTGATCTGTGGTTTCTGAAAGTTTATCCTAAAGCAGCAGGCCCTCTATCTTCTTTCTTTCTTTTTTTTTTTTTTTTTTTTTTTGCTACCAAACTTTAGTTAGCAGTGTTAACTGGAAGAAAAGAATGCTTACGGGAGGGTTGGGAAGTTGGGACCAGTAAGTATAAAGACAGTGTCATCTGGAAGCTTGCTAAAAGACTTAAGAGAGCACATGTAGTTGCACAACTGAAGAATTCTTCATTTTTTTCTTTGCACCTGGTATAGCATTTGAATGCATTCATGGAATACATTCATATTGAACTTTTATGTGCCAGGCATGCGCCAGTCCACAGGGAATACTTGGATATTGATTTATAGAATAATTGCTTTTTACTCACTGAGCTAAGTTTTGCTGTTTGTCCCAAATAGTTATTCCTAAAATACATCTTATGGTTTTCATCCCATGTTTTGCATATATATATATATTTGTGTGTAATGTTTTACCTAGCTTCATCTAATTTAGTACACTAAGTTAGTAACATTAAAATATTCATACTTTCTCCTCTAAGAAGGAGCATGACTGCCCTCTACTGTTTGGGTTGGGAAGTCTCATGGTTTTATGCACTCCAGAGAATGAGGCTGTATTAGAATAGTGCTTTCACACTGTTGTGACTTGGAATGCTAGTCAGACAGATTGCTGTGTGTCTTTAGTGAGTTTTTGTGATGGGGAAGTTTCTTGATTTGTTGATTTCCTGTACAGAGTAGCTTTCTTCAGTGTTGCCTAATCATAAATTCCTTAAGCCATTTTAAATGCCTTTTGGAATATTCATGTCCTAGAAATGTAGTAAGTTGATCGTAGGTTGCCTGACTAGTGTGTCTGCTTTGTAAAATGTAAGTCATTGACTCACTTCAGTAGACCTGTGGATCCAAAATTTATTCAAAAGCAGCAGTGCTCTTTTTTCTTTCTCTTGTAAAGAAATCTTAAGTGGGGGTGGGGGGACAGCATTTGTCACAGTGATTAATTAAGACACTACTGGGATGCCCACTTTCCATATCAGAGTGCCTGGTGGGAGTCCTGGCTCCACTTCCAGTTGATTTCGGCTTCCAGCTAATGCATACCCTGGGAGGCAGCAGGTGATGACTAAAGTACTTGAATCCCTGCCTTACATGTAAGGGACCTGGATTGAGTACTGATTCCTGGTTTTGGCTTGGTCTAGCCTGGGCTTTTGCAGCTTTTGGGGGAGTGAATCAGCAGGTGGAGCAAGTAAATTTAAAAGAGCCTGCATCGTGGCACAGTGAGTCTGCAATGCCAGCATTCTGTATCGGAGCACTGGTTCAAGGTCCCTGGCTGCTCAGCTTCTGATCAGGCTCTGTTAGCGAGCCTGGGAAAGTGATGGAAGATGGTCCAAGTGCTTGAGCCCCTGTCACCCATGTAGTAGCCACTTACAGAGCTCTGGGCTCTTGGCTTTGGCTCAGAACAGCTCGGGCTCTTGTGGCCATTTGGGGAGTGAACCATCAAATGAAGATCAATCCCTCCCTTCCTCTCTCGCCCCCCCCCCCCCCCATAAATCTATCAGCTTTTTAAAAATATTTTTATTTGAAAGGTAGTGTTACAGAGAGAGCTAGAGGCAGAGAGAGAGAGATTAATCTTTAATCCACTGGTTTATTCCCCAAATGGCCATAACAGTCAGGACTGGGCCAGGCTGAAGCCAGGAGTTTCATTTGGGTCTCCTATTGTGGGTGCAGAGGCCCAAGCACTTGGGGCATTTTCTGCTGCTTTCTCAGGTGCATTAGGAGGGAGCTGGATGGGAACTGGAGCAGCCAGTCCTCGAACTAGCCCCCATAGTGGGTACTGGTGCTGCAGGTAGTGGCTTAACCCTCTGTGCCACAGCGCCAGCCCCAATAAATCTTTAAAAAATTAAAATACAAAAAAAGCAATGGAGCCTTTTTGGAATCAATTTTTTTTTTTTTTAAAAAAGATTTATTTATTTGAAAGGTAGAGTGACAGAGAGGCAGAGAGAGCTTCCATTTGGTGGTTTACTCCCCAAATGGCTGCAGCAGCTAGAACTGGCTCACATGGGTGCAGGGGCCCAAAGATTTGGGCCGTCTTCCCACTGCTGTCCTAGGTGTATTAGAGGGAGCTGCATTGGAAATGGAGCAGCTGGGACCTGCACTGGCACTCATTTGAAATGTGTTTTATCCTTAGTTATGTGTGCACATCTCTTTTAAAGATTTATTTATTTATTTGAAAGAGTTGCACAGAGAAAAGGAGAGGCAGAGAGAGAGAAGTCTTCCACCTTCTGGTTCACTCCTCAGTTGGCTGCAATGGCTGGAGCTGGGCCAATCTGAAGCCAGGAGGCAGAAGCGCCTTCAGGTCTCCCATGTGGGTTCAGGGGCCCAAGCACTTGGGCCATCTTCTACTGCTTTCCCAGGCCACAGCAGAGAGCTGGATTGGAAGTGGAGCAGCTGGGAATTGAACCGGCACCCATATGGGCTTTACCCATGATGCCACAGCGCTGGCCCCTGTGTGCACATTTTTTAAGAGTTAGTGAGGGGCGCCGGATTCTGTCCTGGTTGCCCCTCTTCCAGGCCAGCTCGCTGCTGTGGCCCGGGAGTGCAGTGGAGGATGGCCCAAGTGCTTGGGCCCTGCACCCCATGGGAGACCAGGGGAAGCACCTGGCTCCTGGCTTCGGATCAGTGTGGTGCGCCGGCCGCAGCGGCCATTGGAGGGTGAACCAACGGCAAAGGAAGACCTTTCTCTGTCTCTCTCTCTCACTGTCCACTCTGCCTGTCGAAAAGAAAAGAAAAGAAAAGAAAAAAGAGTTAGTGAGTGAGCTTCCATCCTCTGGTTCACTCCCTAGATGGCGATGGTGGGTGGCACTGGGCCAGGCTGAAGCCAGGAACCTGGAGCTTCATCTTATTGTCTCATGTGGGTGATTGGGCCCCAAACACTTGGACCACCTTCTGATGCTTTTCCAAGGCACATTAACAAAGACCTGAATGGGAAGTGGAGCAGCTGGGACATGAACCGGTGCCCATATGGGATTCTGGCATTGCAGATGGCAGCTTTATCTGCTGAGCTACAATGTTGGCTTCATGTGCATGTTTTAACCATGTTCTTGCTTTTTTCTTTAAAGTTAAAGAGGAAAAAGCAAATTACTTCAGAAAAACCTGTGAAGAAGCAAAAGACTGGTGAGACCTCAAGAGCTCTGTCGTCTCCCAAACAGAGCAGCAGCAGCAGAGATGATAACATGTTTCAGGTAAAGTTAGTTGTTTTCTTAGAGCCAGAGGATTACCTGGCTTGATCTGAGGAGTATTGAAAGTACTTTTATCTGATATCAGTGATAAGTTTGTGTTTTGTAATCCTCTAGTTACTAAAATATGAAGCAAGTTAGTAGAAGTTAAAGTTATATGATGCTGGACTGTTGTTACAATCTAAAAGCCTATTGGTTTGCTGAATTTAAAACAATGCAAATTTGAATGCTATATTCAAATGATTCAGGACTAGATGTTCAGACAGCAGTTTGGTGGAGGTGGGTGGGATGTTGGGCTATGAGATAGGATAGGCTGTTACTTTAGGGGAAGCAGTAATATGACCTGCCTAATTTTGGGCTGATAAGAAACAGAAAATGGGAAGGGGGTTGAATAGATAAAAGTAATGAGAGATTTAATGAAATCATCTAAAGACGGTGAGTGTGGCTTCTGGTTTCTTGACCTTGTTTCAAGGAGACCTTAGTGTCACTAGAAGGTGGCTTTACGAGGGTAGAGGCATTAGGGATCAGTGGATCCTGATGAGATTGTAGGCTTTATTTGTGTGGTGATAGATTAGATTGTTTTCCCAAAAAAGAAACAGATGCCTATAAAGATACTGGTGTGGAAGAATGGACTAGAGAAATTAAGCAGGAAGTGAAGTGTGAACTTGATTGTACATGAGATGAAATGAATGGAGCGTTTCCTGTGGTACCTAGACTTGTCTGGGAAGTGTTCCTGTGGGACCATTAGCATGATTGACGGAAGTCTTCAGCTGTAGTCAGAAGAAGAAAGGGGCAGATGAAGGTATGTGTTAGGTGATGGAGGACGGAAGGGAAAAGGGTCGTAGGTCAAGACAAAATGGTGAAAGAAAATGTGAACAGCAGTAGGATCTAGAAAAGGATAAGTTTCAAAGAGGCATAAAGTATTAGTTGAAGATGAAAGGTAGTACAGAATGAAACTACATTTATTTTATTGGAAAGTGAGGCCAGCTTGTGTAGAGTGAACTTTGAAAAGGCCATGGGGAAGAATGGAATTATAAGATGTTTATCTTGGTGCAAAAACTTGAAATGCGTAGCTTTTTTCATAATGTGGTTTTTCCATGTGCTTTTTGAATATTCCTTTTATTTATTTATTTTTCAACATCTGATGGCCTTGAAGGGCAGAATGCCAGAATTAAGGTGGAATAGCAAATGGAAGTTGGGTTTTTTATTTTTTTATTTTTTGACAGGCAGAGTGGACAGTGAGAGAAAGAGACAGAGAGAAAGGTCTTCCTTTGCCGTTGGTTCACCCTCCAAGGGCCGCCGCGGCCGGTGCACCGCGCTGATCCGATGGTAGGAACCAGGTACTTCTCCTGGTCTCCCATGGGGTGCAGGGCCCAAGGACTTGGGCCATCCTCCACTGCACTCCCGGGCCACAGCAGAGAGCTGGCCTGGAAGAGGGGCACCCAGGACAGAATCTGGCGCCCCGACCGGGACTAGAACCCGGTGTGCTGGTGCCGCAAGGCGGAGGATTAGCCTAGTGAGCTGTGGCGCCAGCCGAAGTTGGTATTTTTACTCTTGCTTTTTTATTTGCTTTGTTTTGCTTCCAGATGCAGAGTGTTTAGCTAATGGCTTTAAATCCTCTGAATTTTGCTTGTATAATTTAGAGGAACTAGGGACAGACTTGGTTAATTTGATGGAAACAAATAAATATATGTAAGGAAAATCTATGAAAGAGTCCTCATTGCTTTGCTTACTATATTTTGTCTTTTTCTCTGGCTCTGTCAGATTTTTTGTTGCAGTTATGAACCAAGTAGATGCAGTGTAGTTTCATGGAATTTATGGAAGCAGAAATCACACAAATATATAATTGTGACAAGGGCTGAGAAGTTTTAACAAGATGGATCATTATGACAGAGTAGCTGTTCTGGGAATCTCTTCCCAAAGAAGTGGCATTTATAGCTTCAGACTTGGAGGAGGAGCCAGCCATGCCAAGTGTATGGGTGAGGGAGGTACTTTGAAGTAGAGAGATTTGTGTCATGGGCTCGCTTGTGTTAATAGCTTCAAGTGGGAAATAGCGTGAATAGTGTAGGTATTACAAAGCTGTTGGTTGGAGCCCCAGAAGTCTGCTGAGTCGAGGTGGGAATGCCGTTGGGTGAGGGGAGAGCAGCTCTTTTGGGGCCTTGCTGTTGGGAGACCATGTTTATCAGTTTGTGGTTTTCCTAAGCACAGTGGGAAGCTATTATAAAGGCAGAATGAAATTTAAAATCAGCAAGAGGATATTTTTTCCTTTCATGGGCTTTCTTCCCATGTAGAATGACTGGCTGCTGTGGAACATTTTTATTATGTTTATAAGTATTTTCAGGGCAAATATCTGCGGCTTTTCTCTGCTGAGTACTGTTCTTTGGAGGCCTGCATCTATGGCATTATAACATATTGTATCTTACTCATTTCATTCCCTAATTCTGTAGGTTAAGAACTAGGAATCTCAGATTCTGTTCTGTTCTATTAAGAGTAGTTTGGAGAAAACCAAATCTGTTTTTAGGGGAATAGTTTTCTCATCTCTTCCTCCAAAAAATGATTTTTTTAGTTCTTTTTAATATTACTTTCATCTACTTGAAAGGCAGAAGGGAGAGCAAGAAAAGGGCAAGGTCACTCCCCAAATGCCAGCAACAGCCAAGCCCAGAAAAGGCCAAAGCCAGGAGCTTGAACTCCATCCAGGTCTCCCACATGGGTGGCAGGAACCCAAGTACCTAAGCCATCATCTGCTTCTAAAATGCATGAGCAGGAGTGCTAGAGCAGAAGGGAGGAGCCAGGACTCAAACTGGGACTCCAGATGTTATGCAGGTATCCCAAGGAGCCATTTCACTGGCTGCTCTGCACGTGCCCATCCCCAGCTTCAGTTCTTAAAGCCCTCATTTGGAGTCATTCCTAAGCCTCCTTGGGTAATTTGACACTTCACTTTTTTTTTTTTTTTGATTTATTTATTTGAAAGGAAGAGTTAGGGAGAGATGAGAGATCTTTCATCCACTCGTTTGCTCCCAAATGCCACAACAGCTAGGGCTGCACCAGACTGAAGCCAGGAGCCAGGTGCTTCTTCCTCCTGATCCTTGTGGGTCCTCCGCTGCCTCCCCAGGCACATTAGCAGGGAGCTGGATCAGAAGTAAGCAGCTGGTACTCAACCGGTGCCTGTATGGAATGCTGGCATCCCAGGTGGTGGCTGGGAGGAATGTAGACTTTATTTTCAAAGTGGCTTTCATAGATCTAACCGTGTAGGCATTCTAAGAGAAGTATTTTTGTTATTTTGGCATTTTCCTTAAAATGATTTTTTATTTTTTATTTTTTAATTTATTAGGTAGAGTTACACAGTGATAGAGATAGATAGAAAGGTCTTCCTTCCATTGGTTCATTCCCCAAATGGCTACTACGGCTGGTGCTGCACCGATCCGAAGCCAGGAGCCAGGTGCTTCTTCCTGGTCTCTCAGGTGGGTGCAGGGGCCCAAGCACTTAGCCCATCCTCCACTGCCCTCCCAGGCCATGGAAGAGTGCTGGACTGGAAGAGGAGCAACCAGGACTAGAACCCGGTGTCCATATGGGATGCCAGCGCTGCAGGCGGAGGATTAGCCATGTGAGCCACGGTGCCAGCCCGAAATGATTTTTTTTTTTAAGATTTATTTGAAAGAGTTACACAGAGAGAGAAGGAGAGGCAGAGAGAGTCTTCAGTCTGCTGGTTCACTCCCCAGATGACCACAATGGCCAGAGCTGCTGATCCAAAGCTAGGAGCCAGGAACTTCTTCCAGGTCTCCCGCGTGGGTGCAGGGCCCAAGGACCTGGGCCATTCTCCACTGCTTTCCCAGGCCATTAGCAGAGAGCTGGATTGGGAGTGGTGTAGCCGGGACTTGAACCAGCATCTGCTGGTGCTGCAGGCTGGGGCTTTAACCCACTGCGCCACAGCACTGGTCCTGGTTGGTTATACTAGATTTTAAGTAGCTTAGAGTACATTAGAGTACATTGATTATGTAATATTAAAAGAGGCCTTCATTTTTTTACTTAAAATGACCAAGAATATGCTTTGAAGACAGCTCGTACAGTGCAGAACTTTTGCTAGATCATCAGATGTTAGAATCTTTGAGGACCTAGGTTATAACTCTGTCAAAACCAAATAAATTTAGGAACTGAATAGACGGGAAGTATTGGCTAGTAGCTATAAGACAGGATTTTTAAAAAGACTTTATTTATTTGAAAGGCAGAGTAACAGTGAAAGAGAAGTAAATGAACTATTTTCTGTCTGCTGGTTCACTCCCTGTTGCTTGTGATAGGACTGGGGCAGGCCAAAGCCAGGAGCCTGGGACTCCATCCAGGTCTCCCCCATGGGTAGTTAGGGACCCAAGCACTGGGGCCATCATATGCTGCTGCTCAGATGCGTTATCATGAAAGTGAATGGAAGTGGAGGAGCTGGGACTTGAACTGGCATTCCCTAAAGGATGTGGGCATTCCAGGGGGCAGCTTAGTCTGCTGTACCACAGTGCCTGCTCTAGGATTGTTTTTGTTCAAACTGAAAAATCTCTCTCTCTCTGTAACTGCCTTTCAAGTAAATAAATTTAAAAAAATTATTTGTTTAATTTGAGAGAGCAAGCGAGAGAGAATGAATATGAGCACTCTGCTGGGTCATTCCTGAGAGCCCTAAACAGCTCAGCCAGGAATGTGGAACTTAATCTGGGTCCCACATTATTGGCAGGGACCACGTAGAGTTGCAGTACTTGAACATCGTTTGCTGCCTCTTGGGGTGCGCATTAACAGGAAGCTGGAATCGGGAGTAGAGCCAGGACTTGAACCGAACCCAGGTGCTCCAGTATGGTATGCACTTTTTCATTCTTCAGTGGATGGACATTTGTGGTGTTTTCTCTTGGCTATTGTGAATAATGGTCCTCTAAACATGGCTGTTCAGTATTCCTTGGAGATTGTGCTGTCTAGGTATTTTTCGACATGCAGTCATGCACCACATAACAATGTTTTGGTTAGCAGACTATTGACATGAAGATAGTCCTATAAGGTTATATCACCTAGTGACATTGTAGCCAGCTTAGTTTATGTAAGTTCTTGTACACTATGATCCCATGATGAAATAAACTAGCAAGTTATTCATTTCTGAGAAACTGCCTTAGATTCTGTAGGTGATGTGTGACTGCATGCCCAAAAGTGGGAATCCTAGATCACATGGTAGTTCTTTTTTCTTTTTTAAAATATTTATTTATTTATTTTGAAAGGCAGAATAGAGAGAGGAGAGAGACAGAATCTTCCATCTTGCGGGTTCATTCCCCAAATGGCTGCAACGGCTGGAGCTGGGCTGATCCAGAGCCAGGAGCTAGGAGCTTCTTCCAGGTCTCCCACATCGGTTCAGGGACCCAAGGACTTGGGCTGTCTTCCACTGCTTTCCCAGGCCATTAGCAGGGCGCTGGATCAGAAGTGGAGCAGCCAGGATTCAGCTGGTACCCACATGGGATGCTGGCACTACAGGCAGCGGCTTTACCCACTGTACCACAAAGCCGGCCTATGTAGTTCTTTTTTCTAGTTTTTGAGGAACTGCCGTACTATTTTCCATGCTAGTTGTATTTTTTTTTTTAACTGATGATGTTTGTAAATGTAAAAATGAAAGTGTGAGGTACTTTATATTTTAAGATTTATTTATTTACTTGAGAGGCAGAATTAACAGGCGGAGGGAAAGAGAAGTCTTCCACACTGGTTTACTCCTCAAATGGCCTCAACAGCCAGAGCTGGGCTTATCTGAAGCCAGGAGCTTCCTTGGGGGTCTCTTACATGAGTGCCAGGACCCAAGCACTTGGGCCATCTTCTGCTTTCTGAAGCCATCAGCAGGGAGCTGGATGGAAAGTGGAGCAGCTGGGACTTGAACTGGCGCAAATATGGGGTGCTGGAACTGCGGGCAGATGCCTAATCTATGCCACAGCTCCAGCCTCAAGGTGTTTATATTTTTGATACTGAAAAATCATTTTCATGGTTATAAGTAGATTGAGCATGCAGCATGTTGGTGAATATAAATGCACAACGGTGAAAGGAACAACTTTTTATGTTTTTGCTTCTTTTCAGATTGGGAAAATGAGGTACGTCAGTGTTCGGGACTTCAAAGGGAAAGTTCTAATTGATATTCGAGAGTACTGGATGGATCCAGAAGGTGAAATGAAACCAGGGAGAAAAGGTGAGGTTGCTTTCTTGAATTAGATTCTAAAGCTGAGACTTAATTAAAATCTACCTTACTTGAAATTGTTGGCAGGGACATGGGGTAGGGAAGAACCTTGTGCATCTGATTATCTTTTATTATAAATGATACTTAACTTTTTTTTAATGAGATGCCTCAAAAGATAAGATTAAAACCAAGAAAACACATCCCCATTATCACTCCTAACTGGTTATTAATTTGCTTGAGTGTACATTTCTTTGTAAAGTTATAGCAGTTTTCAGATGCACTATCTGGGAAGTTGGAAAATCAGGAATAGAAGGTTCTGTTCATACTGTTTCCTATAGATGAAACTCAAAAACCTGTTCTTTAGGAGAGTATCCTTCAAGTGAGTCTCTGGCCTCCTTCCCTTTGGGCTTCATTCAGTCCCAAGCCTGAATATTCACAAATACCTAGAGAACATTTTTTTAAAAAGATTTATTTATTTTATTATTTAAATGGCAGAGTTAGAGGGAAAGAGATTCCATTTGCTGGTTTACTCCACAGATGGTTACAACAGCCTGTGCTGGGCTCCATCCAAGTCTCCCACATGGATGACAGGGGCCCAGGCATTCTGGCTGTCCTTCCTCACTTCCCAGGTCTGTGAGCAGGGAGCTGGATGGGACTTGAACTGGTGCTCACATGAGATGCTGGCATTGCAGGCAGTGGCCTAACCAGCTGTGCCAAAACGCTGGCCCCTGGACAGCATGTTTGAGCCAACCTGATTTTGTGTGTTTGGTTAGTTGCTTCAGCTCTAGATTAGTCCTTTGCTGATGAAAAAAATGTCTCCCTATTTAGTTTTATTCTGTCTTCCTATCAGTTTGAAAGCTATTACTGTTTGCTTCATGCAGTTTCCAGGTTTACTAAACTGAATCTTTGTGTGTGTTCCTACCCTTCTGCGTTTTCTTGTTGAGTTCACTTTTGGCTTGACCATTAATATTGTTCCAGAGTGGCCAGTGGGAGGTTTTTTTGTTTTTCAAAACATTTACTGAAACAATTTGGTTAACTTTAAAACCCTTCTCAGGTTGTCTTGATGAATTCATTCTCCTTTTCAACTTCATGGCCACCCAGCAGTTTTCTGTAAAATATGTTAATTCGAATGTTTACTGATGTGTTGGGTGATGGGCTAAGTTCTTTAATCACATTGCCTGATTTACTAATGTATACAACATGTTGATGTGTAAGTACCATTTTATATAAGAAACCGAGGCTCAGAAGGTAGTGTGAAAAAAATTTAAGGTCCTTCAGTTAGTGATCGTGAGGCTGGGATTTGAACCCTGACAGCATGACTGTAGAATGTACTTTCACCCACTACATTCTAAGAAGTCCTCTATGTCCAAGCTGGAATGAGCGCTTCTGAAAGGCCTCAGTGCATTTACTGTAAATGCCTGTGGAATGGAAAGTTAGGGCAGACAGGGGGACTGATTGGATATGACAAATCTGTGCCCAACCACCACTTTGCCTGCTGCTTGGCGGGTCTTTCTGGAATGTATCTTCAAGTTGACATTTTGTTCTCATTGATTGTAATTAGCATTATGCAGGATGTACTGTGGGAGGTAAAGCTAGATGCAAGCTTGATCTGCTTGGGGAATTCTGATGAATCTAGTATAACAAATGTGAGGGATTTGACTGTTAAATATTATAGCATTGTGCCATTCAAAATGTTATTTTGATAAAATGGTATTTTAGTTGGAAATATAAAAATTCTCAAGAAAGCTTGAGTAGATTTTCAAGTTGAATCTTCAAACTTTTCTTTCAGGCATTTCTTTAAATCCAGAGCAGTGGAGCCAGCTGAAGGAACAGATCTCTGACATTGATGATGCAGTAAGAAAACTGTAAACCTGAGCCATACGATACCTGTGACGTCTTAGTTGTTTTACTCTGTCTTTTTACATTGGCTTTTGTTTTCTAAATGTTGTTTTCCAAGCTGTTGTATATTTGGATTGCAGAACACTTTGTAAGACAAATACTTTTTTTTTATGTGCATTATTAAAAATGTTCTGAGTGAAGCTAATTGTCAACTTTATTAAAGATCGCTTTGTGCCCACCTAGTGTAAAATAAAATCAAGTAATCACAATCTTAACTGTGGTGGCCTTTTTTGATCAGACATTTGGTACTATTTAAGGCCAAAAGGAACAGTTTTATAGACCTTTTAGTTTTAACTCAGCTTTTACATTAACAAGGATACTTTGTTCAGTTTTTAAACTTTTGATTTGTGGAATCTGTACTTTATCTTCTTTTCCAATGAAATGTCTAGATTTGTTTTGACTTTCTACCCCAATGATACTTCACTTCCATTTTTCTCCTTTATTCCATTTTCCTTTAATAACAACTCTCTTCATGTTCAGTTTTTATTTTTCTCTTTGATGTTCTTGACTATATTTTGCTGATTTGGAAAGTCAGTGAAATTGTCAAAAATATTATCTCAGTAAGGTACTTAATTAAAATATATGAGGACTACAATCACTAAATCTACTGTATTAAATATTAGCAGATACTTGGTAACAGGGCTTGTATGAGAACGTCGAATAAGTGTATGTCATTACCCATAGCGCTGTATGTAGTATCTTACTGCTTAGTCTGCAGAAAATATTGACTTAGATGTCAGGTTTGCTTTCACCTAGTTAATGTTTGCCGTGGGATGATGTCTGTAAAATCAGATACTGTTAAATAGACTAGGATTTAATAAAAATTGTGAAAGCTTACTGCCCTAACATTTTATTTTCTAACATTTAGTATGGATTATGTGTATGTAGCCAGAGATGGCACTGAGCTTTGCTGTCAGGGTAGGTGATGAGGTCAGTTGTTAGGGGAAAGAGCATTTAAAGCCTATACTTGGATTTTTGGTCTTTGTTTCAGCAGACTTGGTTATTTTAGACTTGCTGAGTTTTGGCAGACAGTTGTAAGTGGTTTTCATTTAGCTGTATTGATGAAACACTACAGATTGAGGCACAGATGTCAGGGGCTTTGCGCAATAAATGGGGCATGGTGTGCCTTAGGAGAAGAATGTAAAGGCAACAGTAACTGAAAGTAAAGGAGGTGGCAGTGAAGAGGAAGAATTCTCAAACCAGATGTTAGATATGTGTTATTTTGAGATTTTGATAACATTGATGGAACGTAATTCTAGATAGAACAGTAAAACTTAGGTTTAAACACACGGAAAACGTTGTTGACAGATTATTTATGGTAGCAAATCTCAAATGGTTACTGCCATCAACTAAGGGCTGCCGTATCAGAGGGTTGACCTGTTTTGCTACCAGGTTTGAGTCCTTTGTCTGAAGCATTGTGGTGTAGAATTACCAAGGACTTCAGTTTGAAACCATCTGCCAGCCCACACAGAATTATTTTTTTTTTTGTGATAGTTTTTTAAAAAAATTCAGTTAACCTTTTTATTGTATCTAGCAGTAACTGGTAGTTACAAATTGGTGAAAATAAAGACATCCTTGTTCTGGAAGTTTAGCCTTCATCAAATAATAGGTACCAAAGTGTTCAAAATACTGTACATATTTTAGATGAATGATTCTTGATTGATAATCCCCTCCCCCTCTTATTTGGGAATATGTGTGTGTCCTATAAACTTAATTGAAAGATTTGTAAATGAGCTCTTATTTTTGGCACACAGAATGGGTTGGTAGAACACAGAATTTTGATTTTGATGTGGATGGAGAGGGAATAATGGGTAACTTACCTAGGTTTATATGAATTTAGGGGAGTATACATTTTGAAACAATCTGCTAATAACAGATGGTGCTGAAATCTATTTCCTAGGATTTTTCTAGCTGTTTAGCACTATATTATAAAACCTTCATATAAGGAATGTTTCTCTGGCACAGTTGTGTAAGTTAACTGCTAAGTTCATGTAAATACACTATTGGATATGCAGTATATCAAAATTCATAATCTGTAGGAAAGGGAGAGAGCTGGGTTAAAAGAAGAGACTAACTTGTACAGGAAAGAGAACATAGAGTACTTTGGTTTTCTGTTGAAACTTTATATGTCCTTGCTAAGATTTCTCCCAGCAAGAAGGGTGGTCGTTCTCAAGCATGGGTGTTTATTTTGCAGTGTCTAAGTGAATTCAGTTGATGTCAGTATTCAGGCTTTGTCCTTAATATATTCAGTAGCAGGGCTTTCTCATGGGTTTTTCCCCTCACTGGTTTTTAAAATATAAATGGCATTGACCAACGATAAAAACTCTGTAATGTAATTTGATTCTCTTTTCGTTTGCTGTATAAATGCCTAAGAAATTCTTCTGAAGAATTTGCCTGCCTCATTAGCTATTCAAGAAGGTGTGATGATATAAAATGGTTAGAAACAAAGTGTAGAGGGGAAAAATGAAAGACAATTACGTCATCCTGACTTAGCTATTGAGAAAAGAGAAAAATTGGGTATTAAAAGTTTGAAATTTTAAAGTACTAATATCTCTTGAAATTGTGATTTACTTTTTATGGAAATAATACAGTGAAACACTTTTTTTTTTTTAAAGACATGTTTTCAAGATAAACTCTAGGGTAAACATGCACAACACAGTCACAATATGTTATTCCGTCATTGTGGAATGCCTGTATGCTTTGTTGGTACATCTTCCATGGAGATGTCATTGACTATAGTACTCAACCTGTGAATATTTTAAATGTTGAAATAAAAATAAGAAATATGCCCTCTGTGTTATCCCACTTTGACCAACCTGAGGTTGAATGGATGGCTTATCTGGTGAATGAGTTCTGCTAACAAACAGAATGCTTTCTGTGTGAATGCTTCGGAGTATGAGTTAGGCTTAGAGTATTACATCTTCTGAGGCCCTCGGGACTGGGGCCATGGGGCTGTGTTTTTCCATCTGCCGCACTCTACAAGGGCTTTGCGGTCTGATTTCTTGGTGTACGCAACTGTATAGTGCACTCCTTTGAGTATTTTCAAACTTAAAGTCTCATTTTTGTCCTCATTATTTTTGCTTAGTTATATATTGAGGACTCCTTCAAATTTCTGTTAATGAACTTACAAGAGATTCATGGAAAGCTGCTTTATGACTTAATTCCACTTTCAACTATAAATTTGCTTTCAGTAAAAAAATGTACTCAAATTCAGTCATGGTGGGGTTTGGCACAGCAGTTAAGACACTGCTTGGGGCACCCACGTCCATATTGGACGGATTGTCGTGGTTTGAGTCCTGGCTCGGCTTGCACCTTCCTGCTAATGTACCCCCTAAAAGGTGGCAGACGATGGCTCTAGGACTTGGTTCCCTGCCACCCTTGTGAGATACTCATTGACTTCCCAGTTCCTGACTGATGTGGAGGGATTTGGGGAGAGAACATTGAAGATCTAGCAGAATTAAAATCCAGAAGGAAGAAAAGCTGCTTGGGTTATACAGTATGGGTCAAAGGAGAGAGCTGGATTGGAAGAGGAGCAGCCAGGACTGGAACCGGCGCCCATATTGGGTGCTGGCCCCACAGAGCAGGCCCCTACCAACCTCTCTTTAAGGTCCCTTGGACTGGCTGTGTTCCTTACATAAAGGTAACCTCTGATTCTCTCTGACCCTGTGTGTTCACCTCACTATCCCTGTGGTGTTCCTGTTGTTTGTTGAAATGGTCTCTTGTTAGAGTCTCCAGGAATACAGAACCAGTAGGATAGATGGATGGAAAGAGATGTATGATGGGACTGATTAGGGAAATTGACTCATACAGTAATGGAATGGAACAGTCACAAGAAACACTGAGTGCAAGCTGGAGAACCAAGGCAATCAAGGTGGCGTGGCTCTCTCCAAGTTCAAAGGCCTTGCAACCAGGCCCAAAGCCTGAGACCTGGACTCTGGGGTGGGGGACAAAGGCTGGAGAGCCTGAGTGTGTTGAGCCCCAGGAGAGAAAACATTACTTCACTTTTCTCTGCCTTTTCATTAAGCTGATTGGGTGGTGCTAGCCCGTCTTGGGAGAAGGTGGATCTTCCTTATTCAGCTCACTGCTTCAAATCTCTTCTGGAAGTACCCTCACAGAAATACCCAGCAATAATGCTTTCCTGGCTACCTGAGTACCCTTCATCCAGTCAAGTTGATACCTAAAGTTAAGCATCACACCCTCTTCAAGCTGGTGTTGAGCGTGACTTTTTCCTGCACAACTGCCACAGTACTAGGTACCAGAAATGACTCTAGGAACTGCCCCTCAAAATTGCATTCAGAATTAGGAGACATGTATATTTATTTATTTGAGTTAGAGGAAAGGTTTATTGTCTGGTGGGGGAAGCCTGATGGGCTGAGGGGAGAGGTTGAAAGGGTGAGAGAGGAAAGAGAGACGCATGTTCAGGAACAGGTCCTCTTAAAACTTTGCCTGGGGGCAGGCAGGGAAGTAGGAGCATCGAATTCCATTAGGGTGGTTGGGCCATGGGGCTTAGGGCTGAATCCTGCAGGCCAAGGCATATAGTGGTGAGGAGACATGTATTTAAAGAAGGGCTAATGTCACTTGGGACAGCATGGTGGTGGTAGCAGTGGGGCGCCATAACTAGAACTATGACAGCGTAGAATGAAGGGCAGTTAGAGGTCAAGACCTTGCTAAACGGCCATGACACTTGGTCATTAGCGAGTTGCATGTTGCATTTATAAATACTTTGTGGAGGCTGGTGTGGCACAGCAGGTTAAGCTGTTGCTTGAAATACTAGTGTCCCATATCTGAGTGTGTGTTCAAGTTCAAGTGCTGGCTGCTCCACTTCTGATTCAGCTTCCTGCTAGTGCACCTGGGAAGGCAAGCAGAAGATGGCCCAAGTACTTGAGGCCCTGCCACCCTTACGTCAGACCAGGATGGAGTTCCTGGTCCTGGCTTTGGTCTGGCCCACACCTGGCTGTTTTGGACATTTTGAGGGTGTTAACTAGTGGATGGAAGATTCTTTGTCACTCTGCCTTTCAAATCAGTCAATCAAATCTTTGAAAATAAAAGATTTTGTGGGCACCTAGCTTCTGACAGCCCTGAGAAAGGTGCACAGGGGAAGAAAATCTGTGAACGTAGAAGGAAGCAAGACAGGTAGAACACCTCCCTGGAGCTTTGAGTCGGCTTCATCTGTGGTCACCAGACAATTGTGGGACAAGCCTACGGTTGTCCAGGC